ACACGCGCGGCGGCAAAGCCGGCTGCTGCTGTTGTTTCTGCTGGTGGTATCTCTGTTGCTGTTGCTGTCGCCTGCCACCAGCATGATGGCTGCTGCAGGTGTTGTTGTTGTTGTTGCTGTTGTTGTTGTTGTTGTTGTTGTTGTTGTTGTTGTTGTTGTTGCTGTTGCTGTTGTTGTTGTTGTGCTGCTGCTGCTGCTGCACATCGTCCATCTGGCTCTCGGCCGTACCGTCCCGGCCCAGCTGCTGGCCATCCGTGTGCCGCTGTCCGTGCATGAGGACAAGCGCCCCGCGCTGCGTGCGCAGTTCGTGCTGGGAAATGGCACTTGCGTGGCTCGTGCTCAGCATGCCTTTGCGTGCACGCACGCAGCTCGTCTCAATGCTGCGGAACAGCGCCTCCACGTCCCGCTGCCGGTCGTGCGCCTTTGCTCGCATCAGGAACACGTCCACGCGCGCCTGGAACCCACGCGCGCATGCCTGCAGGCAAGCAGCAGCCCTGTGCTCGCGTGCAGCCAGTTCCGCCTCGCCAGCCTTGCTCTCAGGCTCCTGTGCAGTTGCGGGCGTGTCCTTGTGCTGGTGCTTGCTTCCCCGCAGCATGCGCACCGCCGCAGACCACCCCTTCCGCTTTGGTGACCCACCACCCTTTGTCGCCGCCGGTGCTGGTGCAGGTGCTGGAGGCGGTGGCGGTGGTGGCGGCGGCGGCGGCGGCGGACGTGCTGCTGTCACTGACACGTCCGTTGTGTCGAACGTGTCACAGCTTGCGTTGTCGTACGCAGCCGCCTCAAGCGCCTGTATGCTGTGCTGTTGTTGTTCATGGTGGTGGTGGTGGTGGTGGTCCTGAAGTGGCTGCTGTTGACGATGCAAGTGCACTCGCGCAAGCCCACCCTCATCATCGTGCATGCTGTCCGCGTTGCTGTGGCTGTTGCTGCTGCTGATGCCGTCGTCGTTGGCGTGATCCTGCTCAGAGTCGCTGGGCACATCGTACATCACATCCACGTCGTTGCGGCGGCTGCTGTTGTTGGTGGTGTCCAGCGCCGAGAGGCCATCCTCGCCTCCAGTCACAGCCACGATCCGAAACGGCGGCTGCTGCTGCTGCTGCTGCTGCTGCTGCTTGCCAATGCCAATGCCATTGGTCCCGTTGCCATGGCTCGCATTGTTGTTGTTGTTGCTGTTGTTGTTGTTGTTGTTGTTGTTGTTGGTCTTGCTTGGCTTGTGCCACTCCTGCTGCAGCTGCCGAATGATGGCTGCCTGCTCAAGCGTCTTCGCTCGGTACTGCTGGCACTGGTGCTGCAAGTCCGCCACCTGCTGCTTCAGATCCGCCTTCTCCTGCTGACACAGCGGGCTGTCACACGCGCCACCACCGCCACTGCCATGTGCATGTGGATGTGGATGCGCATGTGCGTGTTGGAAAAATGGGGGTGGTGGTGGGCTTGGTCCAAGCCCTGGCAGCATGATCCCTGGTCGCTGCATGCCGTCTTGCACGTGCGGAGGTGGCGGTGGCGGCGGTGGTGGGATGCTCACGGTCGCCACATTCATTTGGGGTGGAACCATTGGTGGCGGGGGAGGTGGTGGTGGCGGGAACCCAAACATCGCTGCGTGTATGTGAGTGTGTGAGTGAGTATGAGTGAGTGAGTGAGTGAGTGAGTGAGTGAGTGAGTGAGTGAGTGAGTGAGTGAGTGAGTGAGTGAGTGAGTGAGTGAGTGAGTGAGTGAGTGAGTGAGTGAGTGAGTGAGTGAGTGAGTGAGTGAGTGAGTGAGTGAGTGAGTGAGTGAGTGAGTGAGTGAGTGAGTGGAAGTGTGTGTGAGTGGAAGTGTGTGTGAGTGGAAGTGTGTGTTTGTGTTTGTGTGTTTGTGTCACCTCACAGTGATCAAACAAAACGCCACACAACGCTGTTCTCGACACAACATACTTGGTGGTGCCTGCTTGGCGGCGGCCTTGCGTGATTTCCGCTTGAACTTGTTGCCAAGCAGCGCCGCCAGGTTCGACTTGACATTCTCCGACACCTTTCCGGGCGCAGGTTTGTTGTCCCTCGCACCGCTTCCACCAGCGTCGCTGCCGTCACTGCCCATGTTGAGCTTCTTCATGAGAATGGACTCAAGGCTGCCCCGGATGTTCGTGTTGAGCGGGCGCACAATCGCGGGCTCGCTCGACCGTGGCGCGGGCTTCTGCGGCTGTGGTAATGGCAGTTTGAATGTGTGTGAGTGTGTGAGTGTGTGAGTGTGTGAGGGTGTGTGTTTGTGAGGGTGTGTGTTTGTGTGAGTATGTATGCGAGTGTGTATGCGAGTGTGTATGCGAGTGTGTATGCGAGTGTGTATGCGAGTGTGTATGTGAGTGTGTACGCGAGCGTGTTCATAGGATTCACATGTGCCGTTCCAAGATCTCCTGTATAAACACACACACACACACACACACACACACACACACACACACACACACACACACACACACAACAACACACACACACACACACACACACACACACCACCACCACCACCACCACCA